TCTTATCAATTGCCCTTTGGACTCACGATGGGTCGACGGCGTACCGTCCGTCTGGAAAAAAAAGAGCGGGGGCGGAAGGCGCGGCGCCGTGCGCAGCAGCGAGAATGGCTGCGCAAACGCCGCGAAGCAGCTATCGCCTTGAGTTCCACTGCGTCGAGTGCTCCCGAATCCCTCGCGAAAGAAGAGCGAATCGCTCCCTGGAACGCTGTCGAGAACAGAAGTGGCGATGTGACCGGCGCCGGCGGGCCAACGCCACGGACGACGATCGTGCCACGGAAGCCATAGTACAGCTTCGCTGGTCTTCCTTCTTCACCAGAGTGGAAAATCAGAAAGATTTTTTGTTTATACTTTAATTTATTGTAGTTCTGTTTAACAGGGTAATAAAGGAATACCACAACGAAATTTCGGCGCTTATTTTTTGGTCTATATGCGTTCGAAGGACCAGTATCACATCGGACACACCAATATCCTGTTGAAGAAGACACGAAAAGGAGTTTTAAAGCGAATTAAATGATTAGCAAAGAGCACTTGGTGGATGTCGCTAACGCTTCGTTTGTAATGCCCGTCTAGGAACCTTGACAGGTAGTGACGTTAACTGTCTCGCCTCCGGCCACCATGGGAGTAGAAGGGAAGGCGGAACTTCCCTCTACCCGAGAATCTCTTTTGTGAGTCCCACAAGTCGCTATTGTCCATCTAGAAGATTATAGAAGATTAACCCGTCGTACAAAAGCAGCCGCTTCGGTGTCAGCCTCGCCGCAGCTTTGCTCATCCCGAGACAAACTACGCCACGATTGCGGAGGATGTCACGTGCTCTCCGCTGGCTACTCTCCGAGCGCTTGCCAGATTTGCCGTTTATGAAAAATACAGCCCCCAGGCTCAAAATAAAAACGTGCGTTTGTCATTTACGGATGTTGGGGCTCATATTCAACCTATTTTTGAACACGACGGGTGTCAAATTTCGTTGAAGTATCCCTTTAATGCTCGCCAAGATTTGTATATGTACATGACATATGAGAGGCCAGCTACCCAAAACACAATTCGCGGATTTTTTTTTTTTTTTTAAGCGGTGTTTAAACACTGGCCGGTTTGAGTTTCGCTCACTCTCTTCTCCGTGGTCACGTGCCGTTCAGACACAATCATAAGATACGATCAAAGTCGTGGGTCATTGTAGGCACACACAAAGTATTACAAACAGAAAAAAATATATAAAACCCATTTTTTAGAGCGCAGCTCTTAGGCGCCCGTTTCCGGCTTGAGCGTCGTCGCCGTCGCCTCGGCGTAACCGCGCGCGTTGCATTATGAAGCATTTCTGCGCTAAAGCTAGTGGGAAAATTTTCCCACTAAATTTAGCGGGGAATTTTTTCCGCTAAACTTAGCGAGAGCATTTTTCTGCTAAATTTGGCGAGAAATTTTGCGAAAATTTCCCGCTAAATGGGAGGAGAGCAGGAGGGGAGAGGACGGAGGGGGAGGAGGGGCATACCCTCACCTCCTCCTCCTCAAGAGCTGTGCTCTAATTCGGCATTAAACAGAAATGTAAACGTCTTTCATTGTTTGTGGCTTCTAAAAAATTGCAAATATGTTGACTGAAAAAAAAAATCGCACAGTGCTGGTTGCACATGTACTGCGTAATTAGGAAGTTTTCGTAGACCGTATTTCCCCCTCCGCTAAGCTTTCTGCAACTAAGTAGCCGCTATCGCGCCTGCGCGCCGCTGACCTCGTCTGCAGAGTTCAAGACCTCGTAGCGGGTTGCGGAGAGCGTGTTGCACAAAGCGGAAATGATCTACGGAAACTCTCTACTGTCAGCGTCCCATGCGAAGGTCGAATCGAATAGTGATTTATTCGAAAAGATAATCGAAAAGTTCACCTGCAGTAACGACCCGGGGGCAGTGAGCTAGAGCTTGAGCTTTCGGCGTTTGTACTTTGAGGGTCTGGGCTCTGAAAAGCAGACACTTCTTTTGGGTTCGAAGTTATTTCCTTGCATTTTAGCTAAATGTAACAAAATGCGGCGGGGCGAGTGCTTCGGCGTATGTGGCAAAGCAATCACATCACTTCATTCTGGAACACAAAGACGAAACTGAGAACAGAGTTCGCCAGGGTAGCTAACAGGACGAAGAAAAAAAAATCGAAATTTAAACCTCGATTTCAATCATGTTTGAAATCGTGATTTTTAATCATATCGACTTCACAACGACAAATTACATCAAACCTTTCCGATAAAAATAACTTTAAAAAAATTATGCACTGCTTGAATTACTATTATTTGGCTGTTTCTATTAGTTGTTTACATCAATCATCAAGCAACAAATAATTTATAGGGCGACGATGAGAAAAAAATATTGGCCGATTCTTTTCCGTGTCTGCAAAGAAAGTGTGGCGACAACCGAGGAACTCCACACTCTGCTGCAAAGAGACCACTCTCCACCGCCATTCAAAATACGGCAAAAGCTAAAAATTAACATTCTCACGTGACGATACTTCCCCCCGATAAATTTAGCGGGGAAACGACGTGACGCCATTATTGCCCAGCTAGCTTTAGCAGGGAAATTTCTCCGCTAGATTTAAGGGGGAAACGCTTCGCGGTTTTAGTAGATCGGTCCGATACCTACGGTAACGATACGATGGATGCGTAAAGGCGGCAGTGGGGTATCGGGTAACGTTATCGAAGTCATCAAAACGATCTACTAAAACTCTCCAGTAATTTCTCCCAGGTTTCGCGGGACACACCGTGCACGCAGCCACACACTGGGATTCTGACGCTGTAAAAGCGGTGCTTTTGCGAGCCAAAAGCAGGTTGAAGCATTGAGCTTTCTGTTTGTACCTTACCTTCGTCAGGAACGCGGCGTCATATCGCAAGTCAAACCAAATGCATAAGGTGGAAAACAAGAACACGGAAATATGCATGCCTGCACACACGCACACAAACAAACAGAGAGACAAGAGTTTGAGAGAAAGACGGTCCCTTCAAAATAATACGTCCAAGGTTCACCAAGCTGATTATCTACGGCGAGAACTAAGCACTCGCCTAACCAATAAACCGTCTCCCTTTCATCACGTGACGATCACGTGGCAAAAGATAGAAGCATCGAATCCCGGAGAAAAGCTCACCGGAGAAAAGCTCACCGGAGAAAAGCTCACCGCGAAACCGGCGGATACGGAGAAAAGCTCACCGGCCATTGAGCGTATGCGGAGAAAAGCTCACCGGTTTTTGTTTCTTCTTTTTACATGGAGGCTGTTGGATCATGCGTAACATTTATCAATTTATTATCATTAAAATTCGCCAGCTTTGTAAAAAAGAAAATGTCATTTTTTGTATTATTTGTTAAGCTTATTGGGTATTACAAAGACTATTACAAAAAGTGGACATATTTTTAATCAAGTGACGAATGCGAATTATGTTAAATTGCAACGTTTGACGCAAAATCCGCTAAGTTAAAAAAAAAATCGGTGAGCTTTTCTCCGCATCTGCCGGTTTTGCGGTGAGCTTATCTCCGGTGAGCTTTTCTCCGGTGAGCTTTTCTCCGCCGCCCAGAAGGATCACTGGCCTCAGGTGCGCACATGTTTCCGCCCCAGTGAGCACGTAGCAGCTTAACCAGTGCGCCGTTAGCTGAGGTGTGAACGGAGCATACCGGCTTGTCTTACACCAGCCTTCTTCGTGAGACAACGTTGCAACTTTCTAGTTTAAAACGAAAAGAGCCATTGACGAAGGGCAGTACGCGAGTCTGCCGGCCTTGATTCTGTATGTCGTTAGTATAGACATTTTATTCCCGTCGTTGCTTTGTGCTTTCGTCGTGGCCCAGAGGCCGTTCAGATTTCACCCGAGGCCAGCAGCCGTGTGCGCAAAGCCGACGGAGAAAAATTTTGACTCGAAGCTTCAGAGGAACTAAAAATCGAGAAGTTGTTTTTACTATGTTTCCATGTAGCTCAAAAGAAGCTAGTTTTATTTCATCGATTTATTATAAAAAATAAAAGTTTGTTCACTAGGTAAAAGAAATCAAGCTGCGTTTTTCTTGCAAAAAGTATGCCGTGCATAAAAAAGGAAGTTCCTAATCAAACTGCATTTCACAGAATATTAATTTACAGCAACTAAAGGGTTGTTCATGCAGGACAAGACTCCCCCCGACATGCACAATTCGTGTTCTTAAGAACAGATGCATTCCTCACTGTCACACTGTCTATATTACATTACACCATCCAGTAGAGCCACCTTCCTGCACGTCTGGTATTTTTGCGAGTGTGACTGTTCATAATTTAATAATGTTAGAATTTTTTTTAAGCCTTTCCACTTTGGAATGCCCTCTGGATGCCAAGGGCATTGAGACAAATAAACAAAACCCTTCAGCTTCTGTCAGCCCCTCACCCCCTGCCCCCACTATACATGCAAGCACACACTAGAGGACTGCACAGGCCCACTTTTTGAGTCCCGACCCGGACCTGGCCCGATGGGATGCCTACCCAATCAGGCCTGACTTGGCCCTGGCCCAATGGGATGCCTACCTGATCAGGCCTGGCCCAGGTCCAGCCCGGCGAGAGGTCAAGGCGTGCCTCATCTCTTAAATTCAAAACTGCCTTAGAAAGGTGTTAATGCATTTGGTTCGGTTAGCCTAATTTGCATGAAAGACGCTGTCAAGACGTTATATGTCGGCAAAAAAATGTGAATGTAAACAGATTTTAATAGCACTTGTTCAAAAAATTAAGAAAAGTTTTGAGACGTAGAGCATATACAAGTCACAGATACTACGCTGCCCAGTACGACCTGAAGTCACGATGGATTAAAAATGTTCAGTATTTACGTGTCAGTTTGCACTTCGGTTTTTTCGTTTCTTTCAAATCTAAACGATCATTGCGATAGCATTTTCTTCTCAACGTTTAACAAAGTCTGCTACACCATTGCCCGAGCCTGGCCCGGGCCCAGAAAGAATCCACTACCCCCGGGCTGGACCCGGGCTTTCAAGTCGGCCCATACCGGCGCAGAGCCCTAGCACACACACAAAAAAACAAGGTCCAGTAATCTCCACTTCACCTTTAATTTCACCGTACAACAACGCAAGATGCCGTTTCACGTCCTCACTGAACAGTCTTTCAAGTCGCAGACGTACACAAGTTCTAACATTACAAAGTAGGGGAACTTCAACAGATGGCCCTTTCCCCTCCTCCTCCCCCCCTCCCTCCCTCCCTCTCCCCCCCAACTTCCCAAGAAAAGAACCCTCCCCAAAATGCCATTTTCCCCTACCCCACACAACGATAGCTTTCACGCTCCGCAAAGGGATGCTGCTGCTCCTTGGATGGTCCTTCAATAGTCCACAATGTTCCTCGAAGACCACGACGACGACGAAGAAGACTGTGCTGGCCTGGAGCGGTAGTAGTCGGGTGGAGGAGAGCGCGATCTGGATCGACTCCTGAAAGAGACCAGCAAGTCACAATTGAGAAGTCGTGTACGGAAAAATATATGCCATAGCTAGCAGACATAACAAAGCATTGCACGTTTTCATACAGCCACCTTTCATACAGTAGCTTATTATATGGGGTATTTTTAGGTAGTCCAGAATGTTAAAAAAAAAGGGGGGGAACTTGCGTAAGAGATTCTATGGCACTGGGGCTAAGTTCAGGGTCGTGGAAAACCCTAGCAAAGAGTAAAATTGATTGATTGGTTATATAATTAACTAAAACATTCTAAATATTGTTTTAATTTTTCATTTTCAGAGGCATGCAGTATTCGGAGAATGGACGCTCCACTTCAATACAGACTAGTCGTGCCGTGAAATATTGATAAAAAAATCCCATAGTGGGCAGAGAAACGTTGCCCCTTGCACGCGGTTCCAAACCATAAACTAATTTCTGGCTCGGATATGATGGCACCATGGTATCTGGAATGCATCTTCGACCGATGCACTTAGTATCCTATCCCGCCCATGCATCGAAAGTAGTCCCGAAGTGGCAACAAACGATGTCGGGCTCCTGGCGGTTGGCCGTAGAAGTTCTAAAAAGGAAAGCACAAAAGAATGCGAATGCCACCGGCGTCGCGGCGTCGCCCCTCGTGGCTGTTGAAGCTTCTGCAGACAGTCAAGCTGGAGAGCGACTTGCAGCAGAACGAGTGTCTGCCACATTTACCGTGGATCGCGGCCGGAGACAACGCGACGCTTCCACATCGTTAGTGAAAATCAAGGGACAACTTTTCAGGATGCGGTACACAGACCGGTCGGAAAAGCATTCCGAGCACTGCGACGGCACCAAGAGCTGGCCCTCTGCGGAGCGCAAGTTTGTCTGCTTCTTTTGCAGGGATTGTGCTTCTTTTGCAGGGATCGTGCTGACGTCAGAACGCCGAGCTCCGATTGGCACCCACTGAAGGAGAGTGGGTGAACCTCAAAGCAAGCTGCCTTGAGGCCTAGCCACTATCCTTCAATCGGAGCTCGGCATATTAACGTCCCCACAACCCCGCAAAAGAAGCAGACGAACTTGCGCTCCGCATAAGGGCTGTGCATCCAGTGCCAAGACAATACAAAGACACCACAGCCCACCTCCGCCTCGGGTAGTGCGACGGATTCCGCGACGACGTGCCCGCATACGACGGCGGCGACTCGCCGGGTGGCCTCGGCTCCGCGCTGCGACTTCGGCTGCGGCTGGGGGATCGGCTTGCTGAGCGGCTCGAGTAGCCTTCCCGGCCGTCTTCGGGGTCGTAGTCGTAGTCGTCTTTATCTCGGCCTCTCCGGTCCCTGTTTGCACGGGGAAGGGGCACAGGCGAGAATTCACCACAATGCTTTCCACACGGGGTGAGGTTAGAGGCCATTCGACAGAAAGTGCTAGCCAGCGACCTTGCCAACGCCTGCTGGACGTCACATTTGCAATAAACCGCACCTCCATGTTACCGGCACTATTTTAGTACGGGTGGTTCAGACACACCCTTTGCGGAGTGTGCGGCGCTCCTTGTAGTGCCCGAAGGGATGCTGGGAACTGGCTGTATACGACTGGCCGTAGCAGACGACAAAGGTGACTTTGGGTATGATGCAGGCAAGGAACGGTGGTACCGTCTCTCTCATACTTTATCTCTTCAGCATCGAGTGGTAGACGTTATCAGAACAAAGAGGAGTGTACAGGATGTTCCCATAATTCATTGTGTGGCCTTTAGGGAACTTTTGCAAATGGCTGATTCCTAGAAGTAAATTTGCTCACTTCCGAATCCCAACCACTCTCTGAGCTGAAGACTAAAAAGCTCCTTGCGACTTTTTTAATGAGCCAGATTTTAGTTCATAGATGGAAAGCAATTCCTAAATCTCGTAATATATATCCCATATAAGTTAAATTAAAAAATTTGTGAAGTTCTTTTTTAGAATTAGATGGATCACTGCACAAGCCAGAGGGCATTGCAGCAATGATATTATAAAACAACAGTATTTTGTGGCTTTCCTTGTCCCATTTTCTATGGCTTTTCATCTCAGTAAGTATGATGGGTACATGCACTTCGGGCAATTTGGTACTGAAATAATGCAAGCTTCACAACCTCAATGCGGCAAAGTAGTAGGGAGCAGGGTTGCCTGTGCTTACTGCCGAGGGGATTTACAGTGACGGGTCAACAATGACACCGATATAAGATCAGCCTTGGTTGACATCTGTTCGGCACATGTCCAACTCCAACAGATATATGATCGGTAAATTTCACAAAGAAAACAAACTATCACAGAATAGCATATATCTGTACTTTTCCTTTGGCTGTGCAAGCTCAAGATGGTAAGCATTTCCATGAACAATAACTGAATTAACAGAAATTATGCAGTGTCTGCATGCAAAGTGCTATACTCATTGTCACATCTAGAGAAGAAGCAAATTTTGAGCACAGTTCATTGGCTGCACAAAATACAAAGTGTTGCAAAAAAAAGAAAAAAAAAAGGATCTTTTTTATGCAAGAATAAACTGCATTGCTGAACGCTCATTCTCTGCCCAAATGTATCACGAGATACATTTGGGCAGGGATCGGACCACTAGTGTGGATCGGACCACACTAGTGGTCTGATCTAGTGATCGGACCACTAGTGTTCCGATCATCTAGATCGGAACACTAGTGGTCCGATCTAGATGCCAAAATTTCAGAACTAACGTTTGTCTCGTTCAAAAGTGATTTTCTGAAAATTTCTATGGGAAAATGGGCCCAGTTTTCGCCGGTTCTTGGTAAACGGCGTCATTCGGCTCCGTGCATTCCATAGCTCCGTCGGCCGCCATTTTCCCACCGCAAATTTCCGAAAATCACTTACAGTAGGCTCGCGATAATTCGGTGCTGGGTGAGAAGCGCACTGAACAAGATTCAAGCAGGGCACGAGTGAGCTATGAAAACGGGCCCCATGCGGAAATTTCCATAGCAACTTGCGCGTACGCTGTGACGTGGCGGCAATGCGTATGTCCGTGTCACAGCGTCCGCAAAAGTTACTATGAAAACCACCAGGCGGCTACCGTTTTCATCGCTCATGTGTCCCCTGCCAACAAGTTCACATTACACAACTTCTTGGCCAAATGAACAAAATTTTGTTTCGAGCTGTCATGTGCTGTTTAAACAGTCCATGATAAACAACAATTTTGAGGGATAAAGAAACTTATGTCATACATTTCACAAATGTTTTATGGGCGGCATACCTGCTTATGATCAGTAGGCCCCTGTAGAGGAAATCATAAAATATCTGTTTTGTACATGTTGCCATTCACATGGCATATCATAATTTTATCTTGCATCATGTTTTGATGAATTTCTGATAATTCAAACTTCTGATAATTCAAACAAAATTCGTGGCTTCCTGGAGTTTGAATTAATGAGTCTACTGTGTAACTTTAGAATAAGATAATGATTAGTTTTGAAACCTTAGCACCTTGTTTGAAACGCTAGCACTACATTTAGGCAAAGAATGAGCGTTAGGCGATGCATACAGTAGTCTATTTTTGGGGCACAAAAAAATAAACTGTTAATTTCTTGGGGGGACACCCCTTACTTCAGAGAAAATTAGATTGTCAGAGGAATTTTTGCATTTGCAACATGTTCATTTCGGGAAAATGAACTGATCATTAATGCATACATAGCTACCTTACTTCACCGCATAAGGGCAAAGAATAGTAATGAAGGAGCCACATTTTTTTGCTATGGTTTTTGGGGTGAAAGTGAATATGGGACTTAAAAGCAAAATTTCAAATCAATACCAAAAAGTGACTGGCACTTTCACCGTTTCTTTTCCGAAATATATGACACGCAATATATGACACGCATTTGTCTATGTTCGCCTGCAAGTATAAAGAGCAAGAAGACATGGGGAGTGCTGTTCTTTACCTGGTTTTAAATCTAGAGGTGCAGAAACTGATTCCGTGTCCTAGTTTCAAATCATACTTGCAACCAAACAAGTGAAAACTGAACACAATTTAGAGGCATTTTGACAATGGGAATGTTATAGGCATTAGAGCGTGTCATGTCAAGCATTCAGAAATCTTCCTGTCACAGCAACTGAAAAGCATTAGAGCAAAGTATATATGTTTCAATGCATTAGTATCCAAAGTTGCCCTTAGACAGTTATGACAAACAAAAAACCCTAAAGCTGGTACACTCTCAAGGTATTGAGCATGAAAACCCACCTCATTCCATTGCCATTCCTGCCGTCTTACGCAAAACCTCACGAAACAGAGGATTGCAGCAAATTTCATCAGATGCCCAGAGGCAAACTCTGGTAACTTGGAAGATCGCCTTTTCCGGAATTCCCCGCTTCCCCAAACAATCTCCCGAAACCGACCCGTCACTCTGGTAGAGAATGACAACCCGTAAAATCCCGAGAGACAGCCCACCTAAAATCGAAAGAAATTGGGTGAAAACAAGGAGTGGGCTAACTTTCGGTGTGCAATCGAGATATCTTTGGATCCTATGTCTTTGTCATACTTGTCACCGCAGCGAGGGGCAATGAAGCAAAGATGACAGTACTTCCCAGTGAGCAATGTTTGCTTATATCCCGCCATAGCTAACTACACGCATTCACGCCAAGGTCATCATTGATCCCAACACTATGATTACTAGGCCTGGGCTATCTTTTGGTGTTAAAAAAAAAATAGCAAATCAAGCCAAAAATAGGGGTGGGTTACCTTTCAGAGGTAAGGCATCTCTCGGGATTTTACGGTAGTTCCATAATAACGTAACCTACGCTTTGATGCATCGCTGCGTTTCGGCCCTTTCAACAACACCTTTCAAGCCGTTCCAACAATACAAAACTGAGTAACAAAAAAGAAAAAAACGAAAATAATGCCCTCAAACTTAAGGCACAGCTCGGAGACGGCACTCGGCAAAGTCAGCCTCTAGGAACGGGGCGAGAAAGTGCACTGCCACTGCCGCGACAAATCGGCGTGTACGCTACCAACATCCATTTACCATCTTTAATGGACCACTGCAGACACTTGGCATTTTCCGAGCGAGTCGACAAAGGGTTGGCAAAGTGTCCGAACCTACCTCTGCCGCATGCGCATCGCCATGCCCCGAAGCTCTTCGGCTCGGTCCTGAAACAAAGAACAAAACAAATATCACTAGGTTCCTCCAACACTGGTCGCAAGGTCACTACTGCGGCGGCCCCCGTAACTTAATTTAATGATGTATGTTTTTGCATGCCTCAATGTATCCTGTGCTAGTTTGTTGACGCATTCTATTACTATGGCATTTGTGACGGAAACGGAGTGTCTTTTCGTGAAAATAAGCTTAGACTCGGGGTCCAAATGTGAGGCTGGCAGTCGAAACAAAGAACAAAACAAATATCACTAGGTTCCTCCAACACTGGTCGCAAGGTCACTACTGCGGCGGCCCCCGTAACTTAATTTAATGATGTACGTTTTTGCATGCCTCAATGTATCCTGTGCTAGTTTGTTGACGCATTCTATTACTATGGCATTTGTGACGGAAACGGAGTGTCTTTTCGTGAAAATAAGCTTAGACTCGGGGTCCAAATGTGAGGCTGGCAGTCGAAACAAAGAACAAAACAAATATCACTAGGTTCCTCCAACACTGGTCGCAAGGTCACTACTGCGGCGGCCCCCGTAACTTAATTTAATGATGTATGTTTTTGCATGCCTCAATGTATCCTGTGCTAGTTTGTTGACGCATTCTATTACTATGGCATTTGTGACGGAAACGGAGTGTCTTTTCGTGAAAATAAGCTTAGACTCGGGGTCCAAATGTGAGGCTGGCAGTCGAAACAAAGAACAAAACAAATATCACTAGGTTCCTCCAACACTGGTCGCAAGGTCACTACTGCGGCGGCCCCCGTAACTTAATTTAATTATGTACGTTTTTGCATGCCTCAATGTATCCTGTGCTAGTTTGTTGACGCATTCTATTACTATGGCATTTGTGACAGAAACGGAGTGTCTTTTCGTGAAAATAAGCTTAGACTCGGGGTCCAAATGTGAGGCTGGCAGTCGAAACAAAGAACAAAACAAATATCACTAGGTTCCTCCAACACTGGTCGCAAGGTCACTACTGCGGCGGCCCCCGTAACTTAATTTAATGATGTATGTTTTTGCATGCCTCAATGTATCCTGTGCTAGTTTGTTGACGCATTCTATTACTATGGCATTTGTGACGGAAACGGAGTGTCTTTTCGTGAAAATAAGCTTAGACTCGGGGTCCAAATGTGAGGCTGGCAGTCGAAACAAAGAACAAAACAAATATCACTAGGTTCCTCCAACACTGGTCGCAAGGTCACTACTGCGGCGGCCCCCGTAACTTAATTTAATGATGTACGTTTTTGCATGCCTCAATGTATCCTGTGCTAGTTTGTTGACGCATTCTATTACTATGGCATTTGTGACGGAAACGGAGTGTCTTTTCGTGAAAATAAGCTTAGACTCGGGGTCCAAATGTGAGGCTGGCAGTCGAAACAAAGAACAAAACAAGTATCACTAGGTTCCTCCAACACTGGTCGCAAGGTCACTACTGCGGCGGCCCCCGTAACTTAATTTAATGATGTATGTTTTTGCATGCCTCAATGTATCCTGTGCTAGTTTGTTGACGCATTCTATTACTATGGCATTTGTGACGGAAACGGAGTGTCTTTTTGTGAAAATAAGCTTAGACTCGGGGTCCAAATGTGAGGCTGGCAGTCGAAACAAAGAACAAAACAAATATCACTAGGTTCCTCCAACACTGGTCGCAAGGTCACTACTGCGGCGGCCCCCGTAACTTAATTTAATGATGTACGTTTTTGCATGCCTCAATGTATCCTGTGCTAGTTTGTTGACGCATTCTATTACTATGGCATTTGTGACGGAAACGGAGTGTCTTTTCGTAAAAATAAGCTTAGACTCGGGGTCCAAATGTGAGGCTGGCAGTCGAAACAAAGAACAAAACAAATATCACTAGGTTCCTCCAACACTGGTCGCAAGGTCACTACTGCGGCGGCCCCCGTAACTTAATTTAATGATGTACGTTTTTGCATGCCTCAATGTATCCTGTGCTAGTTTGTTGACGCATTCTATTACTATGGCATTTGTGACGGAAACGGAGTGTCTTTTCGTGAAAATAAGCTTAGACTCGGGGTCCAAATGTGAGGCTGGCAGTCGAAACAAAGAACAAAACAAATATCACTAGGTTCCTCCAACACTGGTCGCAAGGTCACTACTGCGGCGGCCCCCGTAACTTAATTTAATGATGTATGTTTTTGCATGCCTCAATGTATCCTGTGCTAGTTTGTTGACGCATTCTATTACTATGGCATTTGTGACGGAAACGGAGTGTCTTTTCGTGAAAATAAGCTTAGACTCGGGGTCCAAATGTGAGGCTGGCAGTCGAAACAAAGAACAAAACAAATATCACTAGGTTCCTCCAACACTGGTCGCAAGGTCACTACTGCGGCGGCCCCCGTAACTTAATTTAATTATGTACGTTTTTGCATGCCTCAATGTATCCTGTGCTAGTTTGTTGACGCATTCTATTACTATGGCATTTGTGACAGAAACGGAGTGTCTTTTCGTGAAAATAAGCTTAGACTCGGGGTCCAAATGTGAGGCTGGCAGTCGAAACAAAGAACAAAACAAATATCACTAGGTTCCTCCAACACTGGTCGCAAGGTCACTACTGCGGCGGCCCCCGTAACTTAATTTAATGATGTATGTTTTTGCATGCCTCAATGTATCCTGTGCTAGTTTGTTGACGCATTCTATTACTATGGCATTTGTGACGGAAACGGAGTGTCTTTTCGTGAAAATAAGCTTAGACTCGGGGTCCAAATGTGAGGCTGGCAGTCGAAACAAAGAACAAAACAAATATCACTAGGTTCCTCCAACACTGGTCGCAAGGTCACTACTGCGGCGGCCCCCGTAACTTAATTTAATGATGTACGTTTTTGCATGCCTCAATGTATCCTGTGCTAGTTTGTTGACGCATTCTATTACTATGGCATTTGTGACGGAAACGGAGTGTCTTTTCGTGAAAATAAGCTTAGACTCGGGGTCCAAATGTGAGGCTGGCAGTCGAAACAAAGAACAAAACAAGTATCACTAGGTTCCTCCAACACTGGTCGCAAGGTCACTACTGCGGCGGCCCCCGTAACTTAATTTAATGATGTATGTTTTTGCATGCCTCAATGTATCCTGTGCTAGTTTGTTGACGCATTCTATTACTATGGCATTTGTGACGGAAACGGAGTGTCTTTTTGTGAAAATAAGCTTAGACTCGGGGTCCAAATGTGAGGCTGGCAGTCGAAACAAAGAACAAAACAAATATCACTAGGTTCCTCCAACACTGGTCGCAAGGTCACTACTGCGGCGGCCCCCGTAACTTAATTTAATGATGTACGTTTTTGCATGCCTCAATGTATCCTGTGCTAGTTTGTTGACGCATTCTATTACTATGGCATTTGTGACGGAAACGGAGTGTCTTTTCGTAAAAATAAGCTTAGACTCGGGGTCCAAATGTGAGGCTGGCAGTCGAAACAAAGAACAAAACAAATATCACTAGGTTCCTCCAACACTGGTCGCAAGGTCACTACTGCGGCGGCCCCCGTAACTTAATTTAATGATGTATGTTTTTGCATGCCTCAATGTATCCTGTGCTAGTTTGTTGACGCATTCTATTACTATGGCATTTGTGACGGAAACGGAGTGTCTTTTCGTGAAAATAAGCTTAGACTCGGGGTCCAAATGTGAGGCTGGCAGTCGAAACAAAGAACAAAACAAATATCACTAGGTTCCTCCAACACTGGTCGCAAGGTCACTACTGCGGCGGCCCCCGTAACTTAATTTAATGATGTATGTTTTTGCATGCCTCAATGTATCCTGTGCTAGTTTGTTGACGCATTCTATTACTATGGCATTTGTGACGGAAACGGAGTGTCTTTTCGTGAAAATAAGCTTAGACTCGAGGTCCAAATGTGAGGCTGGCAGTCGAAACAAAGAACAAAACAAATATCACTAGGTTCCTCCAACACTGGTCGCAAGGTCACTACTGCGGCGGCCCCCGTAACTTAATTTAATGATGTACGTTTTTGCATGCCTCAATGTATCCTGTGCTAGTTTGTTGACGCATTCTATTACTATGGCATTTGTGACGGAAACGGAGTGTCTTTTCGTGAAAATAAGCTTAGACTCGGGGTCCAAATGTGAGGCTGGCAGTCGAAACAAAGAACAAAACAAATATCACTAGGTTCCTCCAACACTGGTCGCAAGGTCACTACTGCGGCGGCCCCCGTAACTTAATTTAATGATGTATGTTTTTGCATGCCTCAATGTATCCTGTGCTAGTTTGTTGACGCATTCTATTACTATGGCATTTGTGACGGAAACGGAGTGTCTTTTCGTGAAAATAAGCTTAGACTCGGGGTCCAAATGTGAGGCTGGCAGTCGAAACAAAGAACAAAACAAATGTCACTAGGTTCCTCCAACACTGGTCGCAAGGTCACTACTGCGGCGGCCCCCGTAACTTAATTTAATGATGTATGTTTTTGCATGCCTCAATGTATCCTGTGCTAGTTTGTTGACGCATTCTATTACTATGGCATTTGTGACGGAAACGGAGTGTCTTTTCGTGAAAATAAGCTTAGACTCGAGGTCCAAATGTGAGGCTGGCAGTCGAAACAAAGAACAAAACAAATATCACTAGGTTCCTCCAACACTGGTCGCAAGGTCACTACTGCGGCGGCCCCCGTAACTTAATTTAATGATGTACGTTTTTGCATGCCTCAATGTATCCTGTGCTAGTTTGTTGACGCATTCTATTACTATGGCATTTGTGACGGAAACGGAGTGTCTTTTCGTGAAAATAAGCTTAGACTCGGGGTCCAAATGTGAGGCTGGCAGTCGAAACAAAGAACAAAACAAATATCACTAGGTTCCTCCAACACTGGTCGCAAGGTCACTACTGCGGTGGCCCCCGTAACTTAATTTAATGATGTATGTTTTTGCATGCCTCAATGTATCCTGTGCTAGTTTGTTGACGCATTCTATTACTATGGCATTTGTGACGGAAACGGAGTGTCTTTTCGTGAAAATAAGCTTAGACTCGGGGTCCA